AGTATTTGTGTGGTACATAATCAAAGGTGGTGTAGTTAGTTTTTTGAGTTGATTTTTCGAAGTGTTCCTAATTATTGTCAAAGCCTGTTTGGTATTTTTTCTAAATAAGTATATTATTTATAGTATACGATATTGTATTTAATTATCTCTGTCTTCGTCCTAGTTCTGGTTTTGTGGAGCTGCAAAGCTTAAGGTGACCATTTTACACTCACGTACCTTACTTTTTTTTTAAAGTTTAATCATAAAACGCTTATTTTGTCTCCGCTTATATGTATCGCTATTTTATTTATAATAAACTTCTCAAAAATCTAGTTAACTTTATGTGTTGTATATTGTAGTATAAGTTTTTGGTTATATCCGTAGTAAGGATTTTAAAGTATGAAACTACTATGTATGATATATGAGTTTGCAATGCAGTTCTGATTATTTAATTTACATTAAATGTTATAATATGTCCTTACCTACTTATCATATCATTTTAACACAAAGAACGATCTAAACGTTAAAGGGTAAAGAGATAAGAACTTATATCTATGCAGATACGTAAGTAACATTGCATATTAAATGAAATCGTGAATGCGACGAACGATTGAACAAGAAGTAGACTGTCAGTTATCTGCGATTAGTTAGCTTCAATGATACGTTTATACTTAATTTATATACTTAAATAGATAGCTGTGAACACAACGCGCGCGGGCGCACGTAGGCGCACGGCCGGCTGCGACGAGATACGAAATCAAACGATATTATTGATATTACACATGAACGTAGAGTTATAATTGTGCAAGCGTTCGCCTGTATTGTTTATTCATTAAACGTAGGCAACCTACTACAAGCGATCAACGAACCCGAGCCCAGCGAGGTTGTTCTTCGCTAATGCAAATGCCGCATTTAGTGCATCCGCTGTGTTAATTTGTTAACTTATGTTGTAAGTTTTAAGCATTTGATACCAAGATGTTTATAAATACTCTATAATTTGCTATGCTCAAATAAAGTATAATGTTACATTAACATAAAAAAACTATGTTTGCGAAAATATTGTCTAGCGAAAGTACCATATCTCATTGTTATTACAAGTAACAAGTACATTATGTATGGTTCAAGTCCCTATACTATAAGTGACATTACGTAGATGAAAACTTTTAAAACAATAAAACACACCTTCTTTTATATATCTGTATTGTAAATAGAACCTAGTTTATCCGTTGTTTAAAAATTAATAATGATGGCGCAATAAAAAAGACGATGCTACGGCGAAAGATCGATATACCAAATATTATGATAATAATACTGCAGTAATATTATCGTTTAAATTTGACGATGATGTAAGAAGCGATGTCGCCTCACAAGCGCATGTAAATATTTAAAATATCAGATTACTCACGTCACGACGTTCTTTTTGCACTTTTTTTTTTGCAAAATTTAATGTTGATATGTACAGCTACATTTAAAATTGTTCAAAATAAATCCTGTCTATTTTAAGATACACCTATCAAATCATTTCTATTAAAATTTAAGTTATATATTTCATTGAAACATTGTCTAAAATAGAAAACATTTAGATAATGTATCGTATTACTCAAATACATAGTATTTTTAGGTACCGCACCTCAAAAGAAAAAAACTGAACCCTATACCTTATAGGATCACTGTTGCCTGTCCGGTCCGTTCGTTATTCTGTCGGTCTGCCAAGAATACATTTGAAATAATAAGGTCTCTAGCTATTATTTACTCTGTCTGTAATCTTTTGAAGGTTTAAAAAATTCAAGCTTTTAAATCAACGCAATTAAAAGACACGGCCATTTAAGTATGTCTTATATTTTGATACTAACAAAAAATATGAAATCATAAAAATCATGAAATTTGACAAGAAGCAAATACCCGTATTTATAAAGGTTTCTTACTTTTTGCCAAGTAATTTCTTAGTTAAGTCATTACTTAAGGTTAGAATTCTTAATTACAAAATCTCATTCTATAGTTGAAATAACACACGTTACTTACTTGAGCAAATGCCCAACACTCTACGCTTGGTGGTTGTTTCTGTGTTCATAAACATAGTTCTTCATTATTATGAACGATGTTTTGACTTACTGTCAAATGTTTCGAAATAACCAACAATTCTAAGGAATAAAATTCCGTATGTTAAAACTTACGAACGATGATTAACACGATTTTTATAACGCCGAAAATAAATATTAGTAAAAAATGTCGAAGTTGATAACGTCTAAACTTTTAAAGTAAGAAGGTTCATTTAGCAGAAATAACATAATCCCGAAAAAAGAGTTACATATATTCATGTGAGCACCTGTCACTCCTATAAAGGGAGATGAGTTGGAGATGTGAGATGGCATGAAAGGGTTGTAACCCGGGCTTCTTAGCCTAGCTAAGATCTATTTGCCTATCGTGGCAACTTCGGTACCCCGTGAGCGCTTACTAGGCGCCAGGTTGTTAAAATCGTTATTTTAAAATTCAACTCTAAAGAAATAAACATAAAAGTAAAAAAAAAAATAATTAATTCTTGTTTGCTGTTAAAAATAATAATTATTCGATAAAATTAAATGTGTAAAAGTAAATAGTGTAAAATAAATATAATGTTTGATTATTATACTTATTTGTTTAATTTCTGTTCAAATGATTATTTATTCGATATATATATTTAAAAAAAAATCAAATTCTATCTCCTCTAATATGATATTATAATATAATATATATATATATATATATATATATATATATATATATATATATATATATATATATATATTATTGTGGGGTATCTATATAGTTTTCTCATCTGGTTGGGTTCTATAAATATATAATTATAAATGAAAATGAAAAGATAAATATACATAAATATCAATACAAAATAAATATAAAAATAAGTACATAAATAAATAAAAGCCCAACCAGATGGAGGCCCTCGGCAGGGGAGACCAAACGGCCGAGAGTAAGGGGGAAAGGGAAAGAAACCGGCGGACGATGCGGGCGGTATCGAGGAGCACCGCCTTCTGCATTTGAGCCCGGAGCGGTCCGCCACGTAGTCCCAGTCGCCTCAGATGACCCGAGAGGCTGACTGGGATTAGCCCGTTTGCAGAGACGACTACAGGAATAATTTCGGTCGGCAGACCACCCCACATGTCGGTCACCTCGTGAGCCAGGTCCAGAAATTTTGTTTGCTTGTCTGTTACGGCTTTCACGAGGTTCTCGTCATACGGAATGGTAATGTCGACCAAAAATATCCTTGACTGTGCCCGGTCCATCGGCACAATATCAGGCTTATTCGCAAGAATAGTCCTGTCTGTGATGATGGCCCGGTCCCAATAGAGCCTGGCGCGATCATTTTCGAGCACGGCTTCCGGCAAGTACTTGTAATACGGCAATTTCCGATCCAGAGACCGTATTTCAGAGCGAGCTCCTGGTGAAGAATTCTGGCTACGAGGTTGTGCCTGTGCAAGTACTCAGAGTTAGAAAGCGCCGAATAACCGGAGATGACATGCCTAAGTGACTCACCGGGATGGCGTCAAGCTCGACAGATGTCCACGGTGCCATGCTTTAGGATGTATCTCCGATAGTTGTTGGTCTTAATAACCTGATCCTGTATTGCACAGACAAAACCCTCGGTTTCCCCGAAGAGATCACCAAAGCGTAGCCAGTGGAGGGAGGCTACTGTGTCTACGAAAGGCTCATGTAGAGCCTTGTAGAACCTCCCGTGGAGCTCCTTCTCCTTCCATACGGTCTCCCGGTCGGAAATGCTAAGCACTGCTGGGTTCTGCAATTGCTCGTTGGCTAAGGATAGAGAGGTAAGCCCTTTATCACTAGAAATGACGTCATTATAGAATGGATCATCCGATCTCGCCAGGAAGTAATCACGGAGGCTGCACACTTCGCGATTATGCATGGTGAGCGCGCTCAGAAAACCACGTCCACCATGCTTTCGCGGCAAGTACGGCCTCATTACCGACGATCTCGGATGATGCGTCCTATGGGACGTCATGGTAGTGCGGACTTTTCTATCCAGGGCGTTAAGTTCAGTCTGGGTCCACCTGAGTATGCCAAATAACGGTGATGACATGAGGACAGGCATGACCCAACCGTTATATGCGTGTGTCTTATTCACACCGGACAAAAGGCTGTTAAGCACTTTGGTCAAGCGTGCATAAAACACGTCGCAAACTGACTGTTTCATACCAGCCTCATCGATACCGATGTTCTGTGACATACCCAGGTATCGGTATGTTTCAGCCTCGGAAAGGGTCCTTAAGTTGACGGGCATAGATAAGTCTATGCCCTCAGAGTTACCAACCCTTCCCCTTTCAACGTGGAGGACCGCACACTTATCCGTTCCCAACTCCATTCTAATAGAACTGCTAAATTCACAAGTGATGTTTAGCAATTCCATAAGATGGGAGCGACTGGAGACGAATAACTTGAGGTCATCCATATAGAAAATGTGGGTCACTTTTGTACCTCCTTTCCGAAGCTGAAATCCCCTCCCGGAGCCCTCCAGTAAAGTACTGAGAGGGTTCAGGGATAGGCAAAACCAGATTGGACTCAGACAATCGCCCTGGAAGATACCCCTTCTTATCCTTATGTGGTTCTCCGCAGCCATCATCCGCTCGCCCAGATACCAAAGGATCGTACTCCATTGCCCCATACACTGCTCGAGGAAGTCTCCAACTGTACAGTCAATTTTGTACAGCTGGAGGACTCTCTTTAGCCATGTATGGGGCACCGAGTCGAATGCCTTTCTGTAGTCTATCCAGGCGGCGGAGAATTTCCGACGGTTGCGTTTCACTAATTTGCCAATGACCGCGTCAATGAGGAGTGGTTCCTTGGTTCCACGACCACCGCCCCGGCATCCATTTTGAGCGCGTGACATCACCTGATTTAGCTCCAGGTGACGAGTGATTCTCGCGCTCAAAATGGATGTCAGTGTCTTATATATGGTGGGTAGACACGTGATGGGGCGGTATTTGCTCGGGTCTGTGGTATCCCGATCTTTAGGAACCAAATGAGTGATCCCAGTAGTGAAGAGGCTCGGGAGCGACTTCTGATCGAGAGCCTGCGAGCACAGCGTGACACACTACGAACCCCTTCAGCCAGTAATGATGCAGCCCGTCGAGCCCCGGACTTTTCCAGTTCGGGGCCCTACGGACCGCCTCAACCACGTCTTCAGGCGTTATGGTGACGGGGTCCATAGGCGTAACACTTGCACTCTGGCTCGCCACAACTTCCATCCAAGGGCCCTCGCTGTGGTTTACGGGCTCTGACCACAGGCCACGCCAAAATGTGACAGTGTCGGCCTGATCCGGTCCTGGGCCCGCTCCACATACCTCTGGTCGCTCCAATGATATATAGAGCCTCTTCTGATCACTCTGGAAGAGACGATTCTGGTTGAACCGCCTTGACCTCTCGCTAAATCGTCGAATCCGCTTCCCCCAAGCAGCGATTTTTTGCTTCAGGTCATCTATGCGCTCCGTTAGTTTTTGCGTGATATCCGGTTGGAACAAACTGATATTTGTCCCAGCAAACGCCATCCTAACGGTGCGCATAATCCTCGGTCTATTATTACCCCACCTGAAGCTTGTCAGTCTGCCGATAAGGGCCCTTGCCTTTGCGATACGGTCCTCAATTCTTTTTCTCCAGGCTCGGATGGCGCTACTTTTTTGAGTAGCACGTCCAGCCACGGGAAGTTTGGCGCCAATAATACGGCATACTGCCAGTACGGCGCCAAAAAGAATTGAATCCGTCTCGCAAAGGTCAATTATTATTATTATTATTAATTTTATTTGTTTTTATTTCTCCCTCTGTATTGAGGGGTAGAAAACGGACACACGGGCCTTGACCAAGTGTGCACGCAGGAAAAAAAAAGAAAGAATTACAGTGATGACGGTGATGAGTTAAGAAATTTACGTGTGAGACGACAGGTGTTAAGAAGGACTGCTTTTTGTATAAGTGTAAGAGTGGATTTAGGCATTTGAAGCATGTTGAGGCTGGTTTGAAGGGTCTTTGGAACTACACCAGTTGTAGATATGATGATAGGAATGATTTTTACGGAGTCTACTTGCCATTGCCTTTTTATTTCGATAGCCAGGTCAACATACTTTGTCATTTTTTCCGAATGTGTAGTAATGAGGTTGTGTGTGTTGCAAACTGCTATGTCTATTATAAAAACAGATTTTTTAATTTTGTCTAGTATTGTTATGTCCGGTCTATTGTAATGTATAGTCTTGTCTGTTATAATTGTTCTGTGCCAATATATTTTGACGGAATCACTTTCTAAAATAGTGCTGGGAATATATTTATAATAAGCGACCTTTTTTAAAATGAATGAATGTTTGTGGGCCAGGTTTTGGTGGACAATTGCAGCAACTTGGTCATGTCTATGTTTGTAGTCAGTTTGAACTATAGATTTACATGCACCTGTAATATGTTGAATTGTTTCTGAGCTACTGTGACATCGTCTACATAAGTCAGTTGGAGGGCTGGGAATATGAATAATGTGTTTTTGATAGTTACGAGTATCTATTACTTGGTCCTGAATAGCAATTACAAAAGCCTCTGTCTCTGGGAAGAGTTCTCCGCGTCGGAGCCACTCATTCGACGCTTGCCTGTCGACATGTGCTTGACCGAGATCGGCAAGGTGCCTACCATGCAGAGACTTTTGTGACCACAAATCTATTTTCTGCTGTTTACTTACTATTTTGAGCTGAAAATTTCTGTCATTTAGATTAAGAGGAGTTAGTTTTTTGTCTATACCTACAATATATTTGTGCAGTTGCGAATGTTCAGATTTTACATAGAAATATTTGCGAAATTTGTCTATTAGACTGTTGTGTAAATTTTGTATATCGATGATGCCCCTCCCTCCATCTTGGCGTGGTAATGTGAGACGCTGTGTACATGATCTGGGGTGGTGTTTTCTGTTTACTGTCATATTTGTATTAATTGTGCGTTGAAGTTTAACTAAATCACTCTGAGACCAATTTATTATTCCAAAAGAATAGATGAGAATGGGTATCGCGTAGGTATTTATGGCTTTTATAATATTGCGTGAATTTAGCTGAGTTCTTAATATTTGGTTTATTCTAATTTTAAATTTTTTAGTTAAGTCTATTTTTGCTTGTTTTTGATGTATCTGTTTGGACTGATGAAATCCTAAATATTTATATGTGCTATGTTCGTCCATGGGCTCTATTTGTTCACCAGTACTGAGTATATATGTATTGTTTATTGATTTTCCGCGAATGATAGAATGTACTTTGCATTTATCAACACCAAATTGCATTTTTATGTCTGTAGAAAATGACTGTGTTAAGTCTGCTAGTTTTGTAAGTTCAGTGTTGTTGGTTGCATAAATTTTTATGTCGTCCATATACAGTAAATGTGACAGAATGTGATATGAGTTATTATATTTTAATTTAAAACCTACATTAGTACTATTGAGTAATTCTGATAACGGGTTGAGGGCTAGACAAAACCATAACGGACTAAGAGCGTCTCCCTGGAATAAACCTCTTTGTATTTTTATTGATTCAGTACTTAAGGAACTGTTATTTATTAATTTTAGTTTCGTTTTCCAATGAAGCATGGCTACATTTAAAAATGAAATCAGACTGGTATGAATTTTGTAATATTTTAGTACATAAATTAACCAGCTATGAGGGACAGAATCAAATGCCTTTATTATATTATTATTATTATTAATATAAATATAATAATGCTATCCTGTTTCCATTTTTTATCCAAAATAACCTCAAAGTAGTGCTTAAGTAAAGGAAATGGTGACTATTACTTGGCTGAGTATTCTAACGTTTGACACTTCTAACTTGGAGCAATTACTTAACTATCGAATAAAAATCATTACTTAAGTAATTACTTTTACTCAAGTACTTAAGCACTACTACTACGTAAAAGTAAAAAAAATGTTTCATTAATTCTTTTCTGTTAAAAATAATTATTATTCGATAAAATTAAATGTGTTAAAGTAAATAGTGTAAAACTTACAACATAAATATAATGTTTGATTATTATACTTATTTGTTTAATTTCTGTTCTTATGATTATTTATTCGATATAATATATATTTGAATCAAAATTTTCAAATTTTATGTCCACTAATATATTATCATCTATATTGTCCACAACAGCAAAAACAAACAAAGTTTTCATTTTTTTTCCAAAATAACCTCAAAGTAGTGCTTAAGTAAAGGAAATGGTGACTAACACCAGTATTTATAAGTATTTTTTTTACTTTTATGTTTATTTCTCTAGAGTTGAATTTTAAAATAACGATTTTGACAACCTGGCGCCTAGTAAGCGCTCACGGGGTACCGAAGTTGCCACGATAGGCAAATAGATCTTAGCTAGGCTAAGAAGCCCGGGTGACAACCCTTTCATGCCATCTCACATCTCCAACTCATCTCCCTTTATAGGAGTGACAGGTGATTACATGAATATATGTAACTCTTTTTTCGGGATTATGTTATTTCTGCTAAATAAACCTTCTTACTTTAAAAGTTTAGACGTTATCTAACTTCGACATTTTTTACGAATATTTATTTTCGACGCCATAAAATTCGTGTTAATCGTCGTTCGTAAGTTTTAACATAGGTACGGAATTTTATGCCTTCAAATTGTTGGTTATTTCGTATCCTTTGTCAGTAAACCAAAACATCGTTCATAATAATGAAGAAGAAAAGAAGAAGATGTTTATGAACACAGAAACAGCCACCAAGCGTAGAGTGTTATTTGGGCATTTGCTCAAGTAAATAACATGTGTTACTCAACTACAGAATGAGATTTTGTAATTAAGAATTCTACCCTTAAGTAATGACTTATCTAAGAAACTACTTAGTAACAAGTAATTACTTCTTTATAAATACGGGTATAATACTTGGCTGAGAATTCTAACTTTTGACAGTTCTAACTTGGAGCAATTACTTAACTATCGAATACAAATCGTTACTTAAGTGATTACCTTTACTCAAGTAATTACTTTTACTTGTTTATAAATACGGGTGAAAGTCTCACAGTGCAAGTAAGAAAAAAGTCCGAGAACCGTTAATTTGTAATCGTACAAACTTACAATAGTAGGAGCAATCGTTTTTTTCCACTGCTTTAATTTGTACTTCAATCTGAATTAACGGCGAGACTTACTCGTCTTCAATGCAGTTCGTATTGAAGAATATATTGACATCATGGCTCCAAAAACTTCGCCGAAGTTCTGTCTACCAGAAAGAGCCAATTGATAAAGTAAAAACCAACAGCAACAACGTCATTTCCGAAGTACATATACTTACCGATTATTTTGAGTGAGAACGTCAGTTCAGTTGTACCTACATACATATTATCATTGATAGAACAACTCGTAAGTGTACATATGGCCATAGGACCAGTCTCATTCGACTGTCGACACTATTTCGATAATATCGCGGACGTCAATCTGAATGAGATAACAATGGCTTTCTAGCACCTTAAAAATGGCAAAACGCCGGATGAGGATGTAATTACAGCAGGACTTTTGAAAGAAAGTGAAGATAGTTATAAAGAAGTTAAATTTACATTAATTTCGTCCTTCACGGTAGCTTTACGATAGTTTTGTTCTTTAAGAAAAGTAATAAACTACTAACAAAGTGGAACAGCAAGCCGTAGGGTTGTCATTTCTCAACCAGTATAATTAATACGGTGATATCCACGGTATTTGTGTGATATTCCAGACGTCAGTCTGTGAGAGATTAGAATGCCTCTCCAACACCTTAGAAACGCAAACCAACGAACGTCAATTCGCCGATGGGGATGAAATTACAACGGTAACATGCGATTAAAAAACAGTACTTGAAGTAGTCTTGATGCTGTTTGATTCCGTCATCCATGTTGGCGTGGAGCGAAAGTGCGATGGTCTTTTAATTCAAAAAAGGTGACAACGCTCTTAGCCGATTTCCCTTCTGAGCCTCATGTACGATGTTTCGAATGTAATTATGAATCGTTTAGCAAGCAGAATCTATGACTTCCAGTCTCCCGCCTAAGCTAGTTTCCAAAAGGGTTTTAGTAACATAGACTGTAATAAATGACAAAATGTGACGTTAAATTAAAAGTTTAAATGAACGAGCTGACCTTGCTTGACGACGCTTGCTGACGCTCGCTACAAGTGCTACCTAATTATTCACTTTTCTGGTTAGTTTACTTGCTGTTCTTTTTGTATAAAATTCAGTACCTATTAACATTACCAAAAATGTCAAATCAATTGTAACGTTACTGGAGATCATTTCTACAATAATTTTCTTATTTTTAATTTTTAACTTTTAGTTTTTACAGTGGTAGAGCCACGCGGCAGCTTTGCTGTTGCACGTATGGGCCGGCTCAAACCGGGGTGGTACCACGACCTCACAGAATACCGGCGTGAAGTGGAAGCAATGCTTCCGCGTTTCGTCTGGTGAGTGCAGGTGGCCGGAGGCCCAAATCCCCCGCCCCCATCAACATGGTAGCAGAATTAAATAATGATCGACTACCCCAGGAGGGTACCAGCACCCCTGGAAAATCCCTCGCTGAGCATCCACGACCATGTTTCTCCACTTCTGAGCGTGGGTGCTCAGGCTGCCCCGCGTATTCTGGGGGGGGCAAAATTCCGCTCAAGACTACAACTGCTCGGGGCAAACGGAGCAACAAGACCAAGGCGACCCCTGCCACGCTGTCCGTGAATTTCTGCAATATCAAAGGACTTCACTCTAACCTAAACGCCGGCCACTACCATCTCGAGACGGCGAGGCCGGCTCTGCTCTTTCCGACCGAGACGCAGGTGTCCTCTCCGGCTGATGTCTCGTATCTCTCCTACCCGGGGTACAAACTGGAACACTCCTTTGTGCCTCGGGCTGGAGTTTGCGTTTACGTCAGAGAGGACATCTGCTCTCGACGCCTCGGCAGACTTGAAGGTTCGGACCTGTCCATCCTTTGGCTACGCGTAGACAGCGACGACCATCCGCGCGTCTACGTGTGCCTCTATAGGTCCCATAGCGGTAATGCCGAAACAGACCGACTATTCGACCACGTCCAAATGGCTGCAGATTCGTTGCTACAGCAGATCCCCTCCGCAGAGATCGTGATCCTCGGCGACTTTAACGCCCATCACGCCGAATGGTTTGGTTCACGTTTAACCGATCATGCGGGGAGATCTGTTCATGATTTTGCCTTGGCATATGGTCTGACACAATTGGTTACTTCGCCTACGCGGATTCCAGATGTGGAGGATCATGCACCTTCCCTGTTGGACCTTCTGCTGACCTCTCACCCGGACGGATATCAGATATCCGTCGACGCCCCCTTTAGGCTCCTCGGACCATTGTCTTGTCCGGAGTGTGGTGCCACTCACGCTGAAATCGCGGTTGCATTCTGCAGGCTGCCGCCGTGTTTGGCACTATAGGTCAGCCGATTGGGATGGGATGCGGTCTTTCTTTGCATCCTACCCTTGGGGGCGGGTTTGCTTCTCGCCGGATGATCCCAACGTTGTTGCGGATTCTGTCGCTGATGTGGTACTTCAGGGTATGGAACTTTTTATTCCTTCTTCTGTGGTGCCCATTGGAGGCAAGTCTCAGCCATGGTTTGGTCGCTCCTGTAAAATAGCATCATGATATAAGCAGGAGTGTTACCAAGCCTGGGCTGATGCATCAGCGTCCCGGGATGTAAACACCAGCGCTCTAAAGAAGAAGTATAATTCCGCCTCTAGGTCCTTCAAAAGAGTCATTGCCAAGGCAAAGTCAGAGCACATAGGCAGAATTGGCGAGAAACTAGTTCGCCTTCCTTCTGGAACCCGTGCATTCTGGTCTCTCGCCAAGGCTGTCCAGGGGAATTTCTGTCAGCCATCTCTTCCATCTCTGCACAGGGAGGACGACTCACTGGCCCATACCGCAAAGGAGAAAGCCGATCTTCTAGGCTCTTTCTTTGCGTCTAACTCGACTCTCGATGACGGGGGGAGTACTCCGCCGACCACCCCGCGGTGTGAGTGCTCCATGCCGGAAGTGCACTTCACACAGCGCTCGGTTCGCAAAGCACTCCTCTCCCTGGACATCCACAAGTCGAGTGGGCCTGACGGAATCCCCCCAATTGTGCTGAGGACGTGTGCTCCAGAGTTGGCACCGGTTTTAACGCGTCTTTTCCGGTACTCCTACTCCCTAGGCGTAGTCCCAAAATCATGGAAGACGGCTTACGTCCACCCGATCCCTAAAAAAGGCGACCGCTCTGACCCGTCCAACTACCGGCCAATTGCCATCACCTCCTTGTTCTCCAAAACAATGGAGTCCATTGTAAACTGCCAGCTCATGAGGTACCTTGAAGATCACAGCTGATTAGTGACCGCCAATACGGTTTTCGCCGTGGTCGGTCAGCTGGTGATCTTCTGGTCTACCTAACTCACAGATGGGCGGAGGCAGTAGAGTTCAAGGGGGAGGCATTGGCCGTTAGTTTGGACATTGCGAAGGCCTTCGATCGGGTTTGGCACAAAGCGCTTCTTTCGAAGCTCCCTTCCTATGGGCTTTCCGAGAAATTGTGCGATTGGATCACCAGCTTTCTTGCAGATCGGAGCATCAAGGTCGTTGTAGACGGTGCAAGCTCCGATTGCATGCCTATTAATGCTGGTGTTCCACAGGGCTGCGTGCTATCGCCAACGCTGTTTCTTCTGCATATCAATGACATATTGCATACCCGTAACATTCATTGCTATGCAGATGACAGCACTGGTGATGCTCTTTACACCGGCCGAGCCAATATTTCTCGGGAAAACGTCTCCGAGTGCCGGGACAAACTTGTGTCTGAAGTCGAGTCTATGCTGGACAGAGTCTCGGATTGGGGGCGACTAAATCTAGTCCAGTTTAATCCCCAGAAGACACAAGTTTGCGCGTTAACCGCTAAAAAGAACCCCTTTGTCGTATCCCCTCAGTTTCAAGGCACTCCCCTTGTTGCCTCAGCCAGTATCGGAATCCTCGGCGTCGACATATCGAGTGACGTGCAGTTTCGTGGTCACTTGGAAGGGAAGGCCAAATTGGCCTCTAAAAAGCTTGGCGTGCTCAGCAGAGCGGGACAGTATTTCATGCCGGCACACCGCCTGCAACTTTATAAGGCGCAGGTTCGGCCGCATATGGAATACTGTTCCCATCTCTGGGCTGGGGCTCCCCAGTACCAGCTTCTTCCACTTGACCGCATCCAGCGCAGAGCGGCTCGAATCGTCGACGACCGAGTGCTTTCCGATCGGCTCGATTCACTGGCGCTGCGAAGAGATGTTGCATCTCTTTGCGTATTTTATCGCATCTATCACGGGGAGTGCTCTGAGGAATTGTTCGGATTAATCCCAGCCGCCAAATTTCGTGAACGCACTACACGTCAAACGTCCCGATACCATCCACACCATCTGGATGCTTGGCGGTCCACCACTGTACGTTTTACAAGGAGTTTTCTTCCACGTACAACCTCTCTGTGGAATAGTTTACCACCGGCGATTTTTCCGGACCGATACGACCTGGGGACCTTCAAGAAAAGAGCTTACTCCTTTCTAAAGGGCCGGCAACGCACCCGCAATTCTCCTGGTGTTGCGGTTGATCATGGGCGGCGGTAGTCACTTAACATCAGGTGAGTCGCATGCTCGTTTGCCCCTTCTTCTATAAAAAAAAGTTAATAACATCTAAGTAGTACGTACCTATATGTGATTAAACATAATACATAGAAAGGTTTAGTGTCATCTATATCATCAAGTCGCTTTATTATTTCACTATCTATTTATATAAAAGTAGGTACCTACTACCTACTAACAATATTTATGTTTCCAACTTTTCTCATTAAATCTCAAATTGCTAAAGTAGCATTCACCCTAAAGCTTCGTTGTACGCAGGAGACACAAGTTCGTTTCCCGCTGGACCAATGAAAAAATTTATACTTATAAAGTGAAGTAATTAAATAATTCTTCTAAGTTATAAAAATATAGAGCAATATTCTGAATTCGGAATTTGAGGTAAAACAAACAAAAATTCTCCTTAAGTTACATCATCACTTCGTTATCAAACTCAATGATCTCGAAAGTTGAAAGATAATATTAATATACCTACTAGTGGGTTCGAATTGGAACTGGTCCCCATTTAGGTGATGTTTGAAACGCACGTGTGTACTTCACACTAGCCTCTATTCCCTCTTCGGCTATGTGTGATTGTTCGATAGTGAACTCTGTGCTGTTGGAAGACAAATAAAACTTATTTGTATCTGGATTGTTTCACGTCATTGTTGATATAGGTAGAACTATCGTTGGGACTACAATGTTTTATATTTTAGACCTGGTTAATAACATTAGCTTTTATTACAAGAACTTAAAGCGTATATTTCTTTCTTATATTATGGTTACGTCGTTTTGGTGTTGCAATAAGAATCATCGGTATGGCGAGCAAGCCGCGGCTCGTCGTCCACAGGTTGGCGTCGATGTGTCTGTTGAACTCAGGGCTGCCAGATTGTATAATTGTGTACAAAATTGGTACAATATGATTTTCTTATATATCCTGCTGATATTGCAGACTTTTTTGTTATAATAGGACACAAAAATAAAGAATAAAGATGAAAAGTTAATTTTGTGATAATTAATAAACATTGTTTTTACATTGCGTTCTCCCCGTAAGTAAAAATAATATCGTGAAATATAACGTTTGACAAGTAGGCGCTAGTTAAAATTTGCTCCATTCGGCAGTAGTACTCTCTGTTCTCTCTGTAGCATAAAAAAGTTTTAATAATTGTATTTGATTATTTCTCGACATTTTTGTTGAGCTGTATAATATGATTTGATATTGTACAATTTCGGGAAGCCAGCGGTATAAAATAAGTTACTTTTAGTGGCAGCCCTTGAACATATTAGTTCATTTTACGAGCGGCGGCCGCTTGTCTGTTGGACACGACGCACGCAGGGATTGGGTCACAATTGGGTATCAACTGACGTTTTGATAAAGCGAAATTATGAAACGGTAGCTTTCCAAAAATGCTCTCAGAAATGAGAGGAAACATGGGCCCAGCAGTGGGACGTATTAATATTATGCTCATTGCAATTATAAAAAGCTTTTTGATACGTTTTGTTACCTAATTATTAATACATAAATGAAAACATTATTTGTTTATAAGTTTAAAATATAGGTAGGTAGGTAGGTACCTAATTAATAATTATAGATAAAAATTGTGAAATAAGTAATAGGTAGGTGGCTGCACAATACAACAATCGTCTTACGACTTTCTAGACAAGTACCTAACACAAATGGCACATTTTTTTGTATGATTCTACACAAACAAAAAACTATCGACCTCAAACCAATAAAGAAGTACCAACAAGGGACTTATAAGTCCCAGATCGATATGGAAAACATAGTAATATTGTATAGTGATGAAGAAATATACAATGTAGGTAGGTAGTGTAGAAATATACAACCTACCTATAAGTAGTTATTAAAATTTAAAAATACTTTAAGAACTAGAAAATCGTAGCATAGTTTGTTATTAAACATGGGAAATATATACACTCCCACTTACGAAATTGTGTAATGTAGGTATCCACCAAAATGATTACAACACGTACGAATTAACTTGAGACTCCGCTCATACTTATTAGTGTAACTTGGATAATATTAGCGTACCTAATTGCTTACACTTTACACTGTCAAATTTTTAAAAACATCAAGAATTGATTCGATTGCCAAAAATTAATTGTCTTGTTATTGTGTCAATTATATTTGTGTATATTATTAATTTAATAGAGTAACTCGTTATTGTGTTCAAAATAACAAAATATACTGACATTTCAGTAGCAAATAAAATAAATAAATTAAAATGTCTTCACTCTTATTAGTTTCGAATCAGTACTACCACACATAATAAATAATAGTTGTACAACGTAGCACCTATTTTTTTTCTATGGTAGCACTATGAACTATTATTTATTCTGTGTCAGTACTTATAAACCTATAATATGTTTAATTTGTTATCTCGATAGTCTTGCATCATCCATCATCGAGATCGCATCGAACAAAAACTTTACTATGGATGGAATATTTTCCAAATACCATGATGTCATGTCGAGTTAAATTACCGGGTACTGTGACCTTGCTTGTCACTTGATCGCAACTGTGTTTTATGACACGGTAATATTATCTATACAGTATTGTAACTCGGCCGTATCTTTCAAATAAATGCCTACAGCCGTGCGGCACGTAAACATGTGATAGGGCTACCAGCCTCCAGCATTTTTACACTTGCCTACTTTGTGTTTCCATTTAGTTTTATGATTGTAAATATACTTTTTATATAAACAAATAAAATAGGTACTTTGTGAATTGAATAGGAAGTGTTCAATAAAAATGCGTGTCGTTTTATGATTGGTATATTTAATTAAAAAACCATGTTTATGTTTGAATAACAAATCGGTTAAATAAATTTGCGACCGAAAAATATTTGCACCTCGGCTGAGACTTACGAAATGCTTTATTATTAGATTTTTAAATATAAAAAATCCGCTTTCTAATATAAAGCTAAAAATAATATAAATTAAAAATTATTTTGGGAAACATGGACAACGTGGAGAAAAGGAATATCTTTTAATTGGTTATAGATACCTGCAGCTACTTTACAATTTATATGTTTGTTTTCAAATGAAGTTCAGTTTTATTATTTCTTTATTTCTATTCTATTATTTATTTCCTCCATTTTTTATATATTTCACAAAATCATGACTGCGGCACAGTCTCGACTGTCTGCATGCCGAGCGCATGCCGAGATCGAGGCGCGTAGGTATAGCTCTCGCTTCGTCCGTTTGTATGAAGTTGGAATACTGTATAGATAATATTACCGTGTTTATGATGTGCCCCCATAAATACCTACAACATTTTGTAAGCTTCATCAATCAAAATTCAAACTTATCGACAATTTTACCTACACTATACCTATAACTTAACGAAATTAATTAATGCATCAATGCAGTAATGCATTAATTATACTCATGAAGGGATCTGAAATAATGAAAACTTTTAATAAATATATATGTAGGTACCTATTATTATGAGTTGTCGAATTTTTGTACCTAAAATATGGTTAACTGGATGATAGGACATGTTCCTGCCTATGAGGCTTAGGGGCAGCCCGACTGGGTGGGTGCCACCCCCTCTTGTTCTGGTATAGAGAGCAAGTATAATACAGACCATGAGGCGTTCCGTCTTAGTCTTCAAAGCTGACCATTCATCGATAGCCTTCCTCGAGAAATGAAACTACAAGTGCGAATGGACTGCAGTTTGGGTTGCCAGATGGTCGGGATCCGTCTAGATTCTCCCGACATTTTAAAATTTAAATGATCTCCAATATCCCGACAAAACTCAAAGTCTCCATACTAAAACTTCTCTTCACATCACAGCTGCCTTTGATTTAAAAAAAGCTGAGTTAGTAATTCTAATTATATCTACTGTCTACTAAACTTTAAAGTAAGTTTTTTTTTTTACTTTTCTGTGTACTACCTAGTAAAGGATCCAGGTTGGTAAACTCAGTAAAGATCAATGCCAAATACATGTGGCATCCTAAAATTTAGTGGACTTAAACTAGTTATGTGTGTGTAATGTTACGTACATTTTTGTAACTAGTCTATTAATTTAAAAAAATATATTTTTATTTTTAGTATTTATTTCATCCGACAACAATCCCAAAATTTTGTTCAGATGTTTTGGTTTTCTGATCTGGTATTCCAAACTGCAGTAATCACTTAACGGGAAGTGGACTGCAAATTCGTTTATTAATTTAATAAAAAAAATAACGATAGTAATTTCAAAAGTATTGATCAATAAAAACATGAATTAAAATTAACAAGACAAATTATGGAATCGATTAACTGCTTAAATGAAGTTTTAGCTGACAGTGTAGCTGCCTGTAGAGGCCTTAGTAGGCCCCTTATTAGCATTAGCATGAAGTGAATTGTACCCATTTGGTCCGCATTCAAGAGAGTTATGCCGGTTTAGTGGTTCGAGAGACATGCCGGTTTAGTGAGTCGATGTGGATATTCGACACTTTTAAAGGCAATCCAAAAAAGCATTAAAGATTTATGTCAACTTTTTTCAAATAATACACTTTGTCACTTTATATAAGAAATAATTGGCCATTTTAAAGTAAAAATAAACTCAACTGTACTGTAGTAGGTAGGTACCTACCGTATTTTGTTATAAATACTACGAATATACACAGAAAATACTTTTTGTTAATTAACACCCTTTAATTGTTAATGTGACCTGTCTTTTGTATTTTTTCTCAACTCCGCCTGTCAAGCGTAACAATATGCGAATATTTTTTACTACGGGAGTTGCCCAAGTTCAGAAGCGAAAGTTTATCAAGCAATTGGCGATAATATATTGAAGATGGTCTAAATTAATAGTACTCATAACCGATGAGCATGTCTGCGTAGATACGAAAGAAGCTATAAAAGTGAGTCAGGATCAGGGATAGTTCCAAATGAAAGTCCGTTGTTTAAACTCTCTACCTAGCCCTCTGGGGGACAGCTGTGAGAGTTTGTGTGTAAGTAGGTAGGTATAGGTTTTTATTCCTCGTTTGTTCATTATATAACCGCGTAGTAGATATACTTATTTTATTGTAACTAATACCTTTACTACGCTCCTTTGCTCCTTTCTACTAAAATACGTTCTTTGTACTGGATTTGATACCATAATGTGAAGATATTGGATTGACTCCAAATAACGCCGAACATCGAGGTTCGAGGGGCACATAATATTGGACGAGTCACATTAAATGTTGACTTGCTTTGCCAATTGCTTGAATACATATTAACCTTATCATATCATATTGTTAACTTTTTTTTAAATGATTTCGGTTGCTGCAACAATAGGAAAAATCACTAATGAATATCTAAAAATTTCAGTAAAACTAACAACTGAAAAGGTAAAGAAAGTAACTTAAATAAATTCACGGGAGTCAGGTTGACTTTATTATTTAATATTCAATAATGTATACTTTTGACAAAATGCACGAGAAAAAATGTACACATTTATTTTTAATCTTTATGTATTTTTCGATACCTGTATGTATTTGTGTATGTATTTGTTATTGCCTTATTGCTCTTTGCATTGGCCTTCAATGATATATTACCGTTTAATTTAATTTTATGATACAATTTATACGTAAGCCAAATTTTATAAATTCGTAGGTTAATTATAATAAATTATATGTATATATTTAAATCAAGTACATTAAGTTAAGATATTTATTATAATATTATTTATACATAATATGTAGTTATAATGGTTTAAATATGCTCATGGATTTTATAATTTGAACACAAAAGGGAGTCAGAGTCGGATCGCTGTTTTCACGGTCCCCGGACGCGAGGCAAGCACGGATGGCGGCCGTCGCTCACACAAAAAATAAACAACTTTCCTCGAAACGGCGATGGCGCTAAGCTGCCAGTGAGTGCCAAAAGATCATAACTACCGCACCATTTCACATTCGGTTAAGCTCTTCTGTGCATGTTGCACGCCGGGCCGAAATAACTTGTTGATGTGCGTTGCGGCGACGCGGGTGTGAGCGGGTGTAGAGGGGACTAGCGCCGCTGAGCGACGGCCTGTCTACGGCGGCGAGCCGGCGACACCCTGTCTGCCGCAGTCGGCGCCGTTGCCGCGCCGTGCACATTCTTGTCCGCACGATCTCCCCGCCCGCGCGTCCCACAATTTCATGAACCACCCGCGCGCACGCATCGGCAACGTCGCATGCAAACTTGTTTCGTAAACGGATGTGGCAGCGACCGAGGCAGGGCAAGTTGTCTATCTTGCTCGTTCTTATAGTGTTGAGTATGCGAAACTAGGATAGAAATGGTGGCGCTACGTGCTATGGGCTCCCACTTGCGGCATTTTTTCACGCCGAGAATGAGGCGAGATTACACTCCAAAGCAACGTACACATGAATGGGCATAGTACAAGTGTGAAATATTGTAGGGATTTTATTTTCAACTTTTAGCGTCATTTTCTTTTCGGTTTCGCATATTTTATAAAATCAAATTTTATTTTAATAATTATATACTTTTGGCAATTTCGGATAAGTATTTAGGACTACGGTATAAAATATTACTTGTAGTTTTGTACTACATTAAAACTCAAGATTTTTATTTTTTAATAGGTAATTTAATAATCATTAAAAATTTGTATAATAAAATATAAATTGAGGTGTGTATTATTAGTGTCCTCTTTGGAACATATTTGCCGTAATGTAAAAATTTAAGAGAATTCACTAACGCATAATATCCCGTAGAGGCGAAAGAGGGAACTTTTAAGCTTTGACCGTAGATAGCCATTAGCTTCTTCCTAATAAGAGGTCAATATAATAAATAACTGCGGATGCTAACCCGAGTGCCAAACGTTGCAGCTGTAGCAAATATAATAGTTACCACGCTCGGCTTGACAAGTAGGCTTATGTTCAGCAATGAACCTTTGACAGGTTGTAATGACTGAATCATCAAACATTTGAGTGAATGCAATATGAAATAAATTATTTTATTAATAACTTTATTTAATGCTTAGAATAGGTTTACGTAATAATAAATATTAAATATGAAAAATATGGTCACATCACATATTATTTATTTGTAAATGTGTCAGTGTGAAGTAGGACTAATTTATTAGACATACACGGCTCGCGTCGCGCGCTCACGTCGGTCGGGGCGGTGCGAGCCTCGCGCCGCCAACATCCGTGCCGCGGCCAGCGAGCGGCAGTCAGTTCGGCGCCGACAGCCAACACGCGTAGACGTATACCTAGTGACATGGCCGCAGCCCACACGCACTCGGCCCCCGCGCCCTCCGACCGCCGTTCGGAGGGCCGCGCTGGCTCCCGCCGTATTTTCCCACCACAATTCAAACTACAAGTTCTCGAAGCGTACAGGCGCGACGCGCAGTGTCGTGGCAATCAACGCGCTACAGCCAGGAAGTTTGGCATCCATCGTCGTCAGATCCAAAAATGGCTTCAAGCCGAACCAGCGCTACGAGCTGCACTTTTAAGAAGAGCACCGCAACCGGCACCATCCCCGCCACCATACAGCGCAGGATCGCCGGAGAGCGCTCGTCTGCCAACACCGCCTCCTCCACCACCGCCTGCAGCTCTTCCTACGCCAGTGTCGCTGCCTACACCGATACAAGTGACGACGCCAATAGCGACACCGATTCCTATACCACCTCCGTCTTCGACAGAGCCTATAGACCTCTCGTTACGACGGCTATCGCCACCACCAGCGCCAGTGCCAACTTACGCGCCGCCTGTGCTGGAACCACCCAAAAAACCTTTCAAACTATTCCGGCCATACCTGTTGGAGGATGAAGATGAGAAGAGGCCAGCGGTGGCATCGCTGCCGGTAGCAAGTGGCGTACACGTATCTGCATTCGTGCCAGTGCAAAGTGCAGCACTGGGCGCGTGCCCTGCGCCGCGCTGGTGTGCTCCGACCTTCGCTGCGCCGCTCAGATGAAATTCCGCCATCGGGGCCAGGCCCCGCTACTTCTGTGATCTAGTCGCCGACGCCCTCTTGGCGCCGCCTGGGGCGTAGCCCTTAATCATCGTGCCTTAAAATTCATGCCGCCATAGTGCATTACGCCGTTACCGTCAGGTACGGCTTATTTTTGTGCATAAATATAAAATTGTATTTTTATATGTGGGATTATGAAACATACCTACATTTATGAAGATTATATATTCTAATAATTATTATATTAATAAAGAGAGTTGTTTACTAAACTGTGTTTTATGTTACGTCGCGTATGTTTTTGACTCGTACGTCATTGGCAGGTAGCGCCAGCGGCGCCACTTACCTTTATTACCTGATCTAATCCGAATCGCTTTCCTTATTCGACCTTCGTATTTTCAGTCCTTTCCATTTCCTGATTGATCTCACATGTTTATTATTTTAATTAACACAAAGCAAAGCTAAGATATACCTATTTAGTTGGAAATTATTCAACCAGTAAATTAAATAAGGAGATAGTATACCTAGTACTTACCTTGTTATTTTCTTATTGTATATGAATAAAGTATAAATGGATTAAAAATTATTAAATATAATCAAAATGCCAGATTATCCGAGAAAAGAGAAATTCGAAGAGAGAGCCGTCGCAGCATAGACGCTGCTTCTTCAATTTCACTGTACCTGTCTGAGTTCGAAGGTTCGAACCCTTCTTGCTCGCACTACAATTGCATTGACGCAATTTTGAGTATATCCGATTTCCCAAGTGCTCTGTGATGAAGTGGTGATATAAATACTTATTATTTATAGAATCAGAAGTTTGAAAACTTAGGTTACTGCTTTGTTAGGGGAATTTATAGTTTTTACTTTTTCACTGGAATAGAAATATATTATACTACTCTTCTTGACACAAGATTTGGAATCCTATTTCTTCTGCTAAATATTAGCGAGTGCACTGCTGTGTTCCAATGATATATATTTATACAACGCATCTGTTGCGTTTATTGTTTGAAGTTGTTTGGACTGCAGTATTTATTTACCGTCCGGTGGATTGTAGTTAATTAATTGTCACTTGACTTTTATAAAATCGGATCTTCTCTAAATGTTTTCCTTCACCGCTGAGCACGTGATAAATTACCTAAAACTGTAACTAAAAATTTTATTGGTGCAGGCGGGGATTGAACCCGGGTTGCACATGGACTGTAAAATCTACAGCGAGCAATTAGCCCCTGACCTACTGCGGCTCTGAACTTGCTGGACGTAGACTATTCCAAGAATTTGGTCCTGGTACATCACCCGTTTATGAATTTGGGTGTCCCAGTTACGTTAATTTGTCTACGTTTTGGGTTCTGCGTTTTGGATGGAGTTTCCGCTATCAGTCGGTCTCCAGAACCTCATCTGTTAATCAGCGCGTGCAGTTGAGTGGTATTTAAAGAAAAAGTTCGCAAAAAAGAACGCATCAGAATATAGGTAATAGATATGAATAATAATTACAAAATAATATAAAAAGTAGTTTTAATCAATGTGTAGTGTTCGCGTAAATATAAGAAATCATTATTACAAAATAATGTTAAGTAAATCTATAAAGTGATAAAATATGTTAAATAAAGGTATAACTTATTGCTTTAAAACTATGAAAAACACAAATTTCAGCTTGAGGTATGAAAATAGAATAAATAGCAGATTCAGCACAAACTCATTTGTAATATTATACTAAAACAAACCCATTTCTCACTGTTAGTACTATCAATTTTTTTCAGCTCTAAACTGTTCTAGAACGCCATTAGAAAAATAAAAATACAAAGTTGCTTCTTTACTTTTCATAAGACGACCAGTCTCATCATCGTCATTTCAGTCCTTCACAAGTCTATTGCTGAATATATGCTTCCCCCAAGGAATGTCACATATCACTGTTCTGAGCCACCTGCATCCATCGACTTGTCATGTCTTACCAGGTCACTCCATCTAGTGAGAGGCCGCCCTACACTACGTCCGCCAGTATTAGGCTGCCACTCGAGAACCCCCATCGGTTGTCGGTTCTTCGAGCTATATGGCCGGTCCATTGCCACTTCAGCTTACTAAAGTATTTCGGGGATATAACGTCACCCTGTCTTACAACTCAAAAGAGCGTTGTCAGTGACAACTTGTCACCTTTCTTGAAGAAACAGACCACCGCACTTCTGTTCCACGTCTCTCGGGTAGCTCCACCATGGAGAACGGAATTAAAGAGCTTCTGAAGGACTATAAGTACCGGTTTTCCACTTGCTTTCAGAGGCTCCGCTGTAATTCCATCCTCGCCTGGAGCCTTGCCGTTTTTAAGGTGCTGGAGAGCCATTCTAATCTCGCTCAGACTGACGTCCGGGATGTCATCGGAGTAGCGTCGGATAAGACTTGCTCTTGGATCGTTACTGACACGTGTGTGTGACTCCAATGCGAACAGCTGCCCATACAAACTCACTCAAATCTCAAGTGTCCCGAAAACGATGCTGCCTCACTCGGTTGTCATCTTTGACAGTTGACTCTTTCTGGCGAGCAGATCTCCGGCAAAGATTGTGGTTCCGCTCGATCGCTACTTCAATACGAGCTTTATTGAAGTTCCGTAAGTCAGGCATGCATTTGGAGATCTGTCAGTTGCCTGTATGCTGTCAAATCTGTTGAAGACTGCAGGACTGCAGCTTCATTTCCCGTCTAATAGCCATGAGATTAAGACGACCAGTGTTACCTGTTAAATACTTTATTAGTATTTAACAGGTAACACTGGTCGTCTTAAAAAAACACAATATTTATTATATTGTGTTTTTTTAAAGAAATTCCAGAAAACTCATTGCCACTGACTTAATGAAATAATGACCTTGTATATGACAACTAGGTGTGAAACTATAACCAGCATCAGAAATGGCTTGTATTGCGACTGCCAATCCGTCGGAGAAGCTTTATTTCATTTAAGTATCACAAGCTATCTACAGTTCACTACTTAACATAGACCTCCCCCACATATTGCCTCATATAGTGTCTCTTAGGAGGGATATAAGCCATGGTAGCCACACTTGGTAGGGGGGTTGGCAACTGCAGTATTTTATTATTAAATTATTAGCAGGAAAATGCTGATGCCTATTTCCTCTTTCGGTTTTCTCTTACGTAGCCAAGGATGAAACAAGCGATTAGGTGCACCCAGTAACTGACAATGGACTATTTACTCTTCGCAGTGTAGTGGAAGAGATCCGCTTTTCCATTTCCCCTAGGTAGTACGAGGGCGGCACTGAAAATTTCGGGAATCAAGGAAGTGACACATTACTATTTAAAAATGTATTTATGGCTTTTCGAAGTATTCTCCGCGAAATTTGACACATTTTTCCATACGATGGAACCAATCATTGAAGCAACCATTCCATTCGGAAATTGGGGTCTCCAAAATTGCCGTTTTGTAGGCGTCCACAGCTTCTTCAGGTGATGAAAATCTCTGTCCACGCAATTTATTCTTTATTTTAGGGAAAGTATAGAAATCATTAGGGCTTAGGTCGGGGCTGTACGGCTGATGGTCTAATAGTTCTATGTTTTATTGCTCTAAAAACTCTTTTGTTCTGTGTGCGGTATGAGAACTCGCATTGTCGTGATGGAGGATGATGCGGCGGTTGCAGTTCTCTTTACGGAGTTCAGAAACGACCTGTGGCAAACAAATGCTAGCATACCATTCTGCATTAACCGTTCTTTGTCCCTCAAGAGGAATAGTCGTAACATGGCCGGTTTTGGAGACTAACGTGGCCATCATCTTTTTTGCAACACTCCGTGAACGAACAATTTTTGTTGGCTTTAATTTATTTTCGAACATCCAAACTCGTGACTGGTATTTTGTTTCGGGTTCGTACGCGTATATCCAGGATTCGTCACCTGATACGATGTTGTATACAGCATTTGAGGATCCTGCGTGGAATCTTTCGAGAGTTCTGACGCACCAAGTAACGCGAGCCGCTTTTTGATCTTCACAGAGCGAATGCGGTATCCATCGGGAAAACAACTTTTTTACACCTAATTGTTCATGCAAGATTATTTGTATTTGACTCATGCCAATGTCTAAAGTTCCCTGAATTTCGCGTATTTGAATGATTCGCTTACGCACAGCGTCAACGTTTTCTTGGGTGACTGCAGTTTTTGGACGACCTTGACAGGGATCATCACTGAGCTTGACACGTTCACGTTGAAATTCAGCAAACCAGCGATAAATTGTGGTTTTGGTTGGGGCTTCATCACCAAATGCAGAAATCATCTGGTCAACACACTGTTTTTGTGTTAAACCACTTCGAAAGTCATAATAAATCATCGCTCTTGAATTTTCTCGAGCCAATTCCATTTTCTCAACGACTAAACAAGTTTGACAAAACCTTGTGACAAGACCGAGAATCTTTTTTTAAATAAATAAATGGTATTCGATTTTTAAAACCAAGGAGTTTTCAATTAAAAAGATTTTAATATGACAGGAACAGTGGAAATATTCCATTCCCGATACTTTTAGTGCAGCCTAGTAAGTATCTTGCTGATAACAACCGAAAATAAGAATATACCCAGGCGGGTCAGCTACCACAGTTTAACAAATCGGACCGCGTGGCAACTATGGCAAATTTACCCTTTCTAAAGCAATATATAGGGAAGAGGCCTATGTTCAGCAGTGGACATTGAAAGGCTCTTTTTTTGATGTTTTTTTTTTATAGAATAAGAGTGGCAAACGAGCACACAGTCCACCTGATGTTAAGTAGATGCTGTAGCCCATAAACATCTACATCTATCCTCGGTTAAGAATCAAAACGGTGAAAAAAAAAACAGCCTTAAGGACTAAAATTAAATGCCTCGTTACCAATAAAGAGTCTCCAGTTCTCTACATGCACCATACAAAACGCAACAGCATTAAGCTGCTATTTGACGCTGGTATTCTGTGAGAGCGTGGTCCTTCCTCGTTCGAGCCGACCCATTCGTGTTTCAGCACGGCCCACTTGGTAAGACATTACACTAATATTTAAAGTAGGTATCATTAATGGGTTATGATTTTAAACCAACTTTTAATAATATATCACATAAAAATATTAGAGTTCTAAACGTTTTAAATGATTTCGGTAAATAGAATATAGTTGGCATGAAGCGGCAAAAAGCAATAAATAAAGCTACTACCTACTAGAGATATTCACGCAACTTTATATTATGGTGCAACAGAGGGCGTCGAGCAGTCTGGGAAAGGGAATAGATGACGCCTTCAATCAAGACTGTCGACAAACACGTGTCGACTTTTGTATTTATTTTTGTGTTATTTAAAGAAAATATCTTCCCTATACCTTATTGTATTTTTATGTATACACAAATCTTAGAATGTTAATACTTACAATATACCTACATATATTTATTTGATTGCATAATATGTTAGTTAAAAAATTACACTACATTATAATATAGGTACAATAAAATAAAATTGAGTTGTCTTTTTGTAATGTCAAAATAACAGCTTTTTGGTTTTTACTAAATGCTTATGAATGTATATACAGTACTTATAAAAAAAGCCCAATGATAAAAAAAATGTCTATCTGATTGTTCCAGCTAATCTCCTGCCTGGACTGATTTTGACGAGACTTTCAATGGTATATCCACCTAAGGCCCAAAGTCCTTTTTAAAAGTATAAATAATATGTGTGTACAGACCCAGCATAAAATGTGGTTACTTCTTCATGCAGGTCATTGATGTTATATAAATCAATGATCCTTTAAAAAGGTTCGATTTTAAAATCACGTTTTTCAAATTCAAATGGACCGCCAAATAAATATTTGACATTTAAGATGAACCTGGAAGACCTACTTAATCTGTTACTGGAAGTCGTAATTATTGGTTTAAAAATTGACCTCGTGACGCCATTTCTTTTTCGACACGATGGCTGACTTTAGGAGACAGAGTGAGTAAATCTTTCTTTATCCTTGTGATCAGTCATATCAGCACGGTTTCGTATACAAAAATATGTGTGGCTATATGTTTTCCGTAATTATATTAACTACTTTTTTCATTTTACTATCGAAAATGATACATTTAAATAAACCAAACTTTTTGATACTTTAAAAAGTACCGCGGGCTTTTATACCAAAAAACCCGTATTATGTTAGACCTATACAAAGGTCTTTGGGTTATTATGTTTACTTAAGATGAAGTGCACGTTAAGTTAATGAGTTAAACTAAAATAGTTTTTTTTGAAAATTTACTTAGGTAGGTACCAAATATTATTGTTGTTTCTAGTCTATATTTAATTAACAAAAAAAAAACTTTTTTTCAGGAGTAAATGACCAACAAATGGTTGATTTACTTGTTGATTCAGAATTTGAAGATGAAACAGCTGATATCAATGAAATTGATGATGGGCTGATGGCAGGCATTTCTAATGTGTTATCACGAGATAAAGATTTGTCAGATTCAGGGTCCTCGAATATCAAGAGATCGGAATTGGAATCAAGTGATTCAGATTCTCAGTCCGAACTTTCCGACGAAGATATAACTCCCGCACCTTCATTACAAAGAAAGAACGAGATCGTGGCATGCAACAACGTGGAGCCATACGACATTCACGCGGAATTACATCGCGAAGGGTAAGCAATAATAGGAACGTGCCAGCGTCATCTTCATCTGATGTGAGACATTGTGAGTGGTCAATGAAGAATTTTAATCCGCATGTTGTTTCGCGTAAAATATAACCCTTATATTTGCATATCAAACCCCATGCAGAACCCGATTGATGCAGATTCATTTACCGATAAATTTGATTACTTTAAGCTCTATATCGATAACGAAATAATGAAGCTAATAGTATTGAAAACTAATCATACTTTTTTATCAAAATATGGCAAGTGCCTTGGTCTGACTACCAATGAATTGCATATATATATATTGGAATAACTTTAGCCATGTTATGTATGTTATGCATGTTATAGCCTGGTGGCTGAAAAATGAATCAGTATCTTCTTCTTGTTAAGGGGAAATATAACCTCAAATGGCTTAGCAAGATCCTCCGTTATGCCGAAAGTATTGCAGCATTAATTTTGAAATAAATATATGGTAAAGTTGAGGATTAATGTTAAGGACTATGTTAGACGAAAACACGATTCCGTAAAATTTTCTCGATAGAAAAAAAAATCCAAAGTTACCTCCAAACAGAACAATAAACCGCTGTTATTCATAAAATACTTTAAATAAGATCATGAAACTTTGCATACTAACTGAACTAACTATAAAGCAGTGCTTATGTTATTATTTTTTAAAATACCATTATTTTCACTGTAAAAAGAAATTACCTAAACTATCGGCGCGTAAGCTTGATTCCTGTCGCCCCGTTAGTATCTGTTATCTGTTAGTTAGTATCGCTCCGGCTTTTGAAGGGAGAAGTTGTGTCGCTTACGATCTGAATACACATTACGCAACAGGACGACGTAAAATTAAAATGGGAAATAAGCGTGATAAAAATAAGAAGCGACTGGGCTGGCGTTAAGAAACAGGCATAAATATGATAAACCTAATGAAATAAGTATCTAACGACCTATCTACTTACAGTATTAGTGATTACAAACATGTCGGTACATAGCATACGACGCGCGGGGAAGTGGGGGCGAAATTAGAATTTGAGCTGACTTACTGTATCCCCTTAAGAGTATTATTATTTAAATCTGTAATAAATGTTGATTTTCTTCATAAAAATTGTGTTTTTATTTATATCGTTACAACCCAAAGTCCTACAGATAGTGTAAATTTTTGGTACCTACTTATCTAATATTAACCCTATCGCTCGGCTACCAATCTAATCAGATCGTACAATACCTACCTTACGCCCGCTCTAGTACGGGGCTAATTAGATCAGATAATATCAAAAGTACTGCCTTATGAAAAAACTACTTTTTCCTTTAAAACAAAACCAAAGACAATATGCAATAGATAATAGTATCAAAGACAAAGATATGTTCTTTTATTTTAAACCATAACCTGGCAATGTTTCTTAGAAAAAAAAAAAAGAAATCACTCTAAACTTTCGGCGTTCCACGTGTCGTTTTGATGGAGGCGCTCCGTCTTTTTGATAGAATTTTATAATTGTGTCTGGACTAAAAACGAAAGTATTATACTTTTTTATATTCCTTGTAATATAGTGAACACGTAGATATATAATTTGTGGTATAAAAAGTGAAAAGTAAATTGCCAAAAGTGCTTCAAAATCTGGAAGGCCCATTATGGCGGCTGGGTCATAAATGTGGTATTTTTCACATTCTCATTTATTTTTAGTGTAAAATGTAAGTAAAAATAGTTTTTTTACATATTTCAAATAACTTGACGTTGTATTTATTTCAAATTCACACAAAACTATTTTAGAAATATTGTTCTAAATGTCACACAGATAAAATATGATTATTTAATTTTTTTTAATTTCTTTATATTTTAATATTTTGGTATGAGTAACGAATGGAAACACATAAAACATAAAAATATACATATTTCCAAACATTTTCATATAAATTTCTCTAAAAACAAAAGTGTAGAATTCAAGTTAGTAGTAATTTTGTCACTAAAATTGAAGTATATACCACTATACAGCTATACAGGGTAATTTACGTATTTTATTACAATTTCTAGCAACCAAAAATAATTTTATTCGATAGTTTATACATTCAACAAGAAATCCTGTAAGTTTTATCCATAAATATTGTCTCAAAGTGAAAATATAGCAAAATTTGCAATATAGCAAAAAATTTGCTAATTTGCAAATTTTCCCGCCATTACGGTCCCGAGCGAACGGGAGTATAACATGTCGCGCGCTGTCAGAGCGAAGGGGACCCAAAGGCCTTTACAAAGAACCAAAGATATGAGGTCTATACTTTACAAATGGGTCCTTTGGTAAGTTATAAGGACACTAATAAACTATATTTAAAATAAAAACTGCAACAAAAGAAAACATTGCATCTTTTTGTTTGGGTCTGAACATCAATAAAATTTGATCCTTTAAAGGGACCTTCGGGTCGTAATCTAAACTAAGCAAAAATTTTCTTGGGCCTTACGAGGATATAGCTAATGTTATAAGGAGCAACTGAGGCTACTTTTTTTTAGAAAAAGAATAAGGTTTCCGCGCAAAACAATAAAACCCTAATTTCACGCGGATGAAATCGCGGGAATTTATTTTAGTTGTGGATTTTCTTTTAATATTAGGAGTTAGAAAAATGTGTAAGAACCTTAACATAATATATGTAATAACTAATAAGTGTTGACTGTATTTAATTTTGACTCAATTTAAATTTACGATCGCTATAAGGCTAGCGCAATGGTCATTCATCAACGCTTCACACGACAATGTGTGAATACAAAATGAATATAAATTAATAATTTTTCTGGTAATATTTTGAAACACTTTCAGCACTTTCATTGTTGTTTAACACTGGAAAATCTAATTCACTTTTGGTGCAACCCTAAACGTAATATTGCATGTGCAGTGCATTCGAGACTCGGTTTATAACGCTCCGCCGCGCCGGACGGGCGTGATGGTCCATAAAGTCGAAGATGTACCAGCCGTGATGTCATGAACGTTTTTGGCACAAAAGACATGGCAACTTTTCGTCATGAGCCATTAAATCACTAGGTCTGCTCTATTTTTACTTTACCGACACAGACTATCTTTGAAATATTAAGTTTTCGGTCTATGTATATATACATATATACTTATGGTTTATAGATACATGATATTTCGACTAGTAGCTATAATATGAGATATTAACTACCTATGCATTTTAAACGCAGTCAGTAGCTCAGGATATGGGCATGGGGTGAGTCCTGGAGGGTCTTTCTTTACCAGTTAGGTATACTTAAAAGTGCAACAACAGTAATTATCTTCTATTTTATAGCATTTAAAAGATAATGAAACTAGGTATTTTTTTTTCGTAAATTAAGAAAGTTATTTTTAATTGTAAAGCGAACATTGAAGCTTATGATTTTACTAATATTAACTTATCAGAGTTATAAAAGTATTTTTTTTAATAAATCATCAGTTAAATGATTGAAATAATACAATAATTCATAATCAATTCACAAAATTTCATCATTCACAGTTCACTCGTTCCCCGGATACAGTAAATTGTGATCTATTCAGTGCTGGCTTGCCAACACCTTATTCTTGTGACTCAATCAGTCATCTCTGCACCTCACGTGTTTCAGCCACCTCTATTTTAGCAAAGTGACTCTATGTGCTTTATTTACACATGTCAATTATTTTCGGTTATTATTAATAACGTAATGCAATAATCTGTTGAACATTTTCAGAATCGAATAAGAAGCGAATAAGTTTCTATGATAATTCTTTTTTTATGTTTCCACAATTTTACCGTATACACTCGAGCATATGTACCTATTATGCTACAAATATTTGTTAACAATGCATTTAAATCTGGCTCTAACGTCGTCTTAATATCAGATCAATGCTAGATCAAATCTGGTGAGCGAGTTTTCGAATCTGAGAGAGCAGTTAAGAAAACTTCCAGGTATTTAAGACTGCAGTCAAACGTGAGACGTTAATATTATTGTGGATTTGATTTTTTACATTAACGTGTGGTATTGGGTCTAATTGCAAGACGTGTTCAAGCTACTGGACTGGAAAAGATACGGTATTAACATTAATGGAGACTACATCACTCACCTTTGATTTGCTGCTAATTTACTCCTTATGGCAGGATCGCTGGAAGACTCAATGACGTTAATAGTGCTTCCCAACAGATAGGTTTTAAGATGAACATAGACAAAACAATGATCATGTGTAACGTCCATGTCACACCTATGCCGGTGGAGTGGTAAGTCCAACTTCGACTGAGAGATCAATCGACGGATTCACTACCTGGTCTTATGCCGAATTAGGGGTTTATTCAAACGTTGGCGGCATCGGACATCTGTGTCTACCACTGCATTACAGCGTGTAAGAATTGAGAGGTTACAAGATGAAGATGTGAAAGACAAGTACAAATGTAGACTGAGAGAAAATATAAGTGATTTGGATGAGTTTTGTGTGAATGAGTTAGACTTGAAGAATGTGTGGCATAATGTTAAGAAAGGTTTAGTGGATGCAGCTACCGATGTATGTGGTATTAGTAAGAGAACGAATGAAAGGAAAGACAATACGTTATGGTGGGATGATGAGGTACGTATGGAAGTTGAAGCAAAGAAGAGAGCGTGGCTAGATTTACTAGCGACCAAAGCTGGCCGGTAAGAATGATGACATTGAAAGAAAAAAGGCAGAGTTTAAACGTCTAAATAAGGGAGTAAAAGAAGTTGAAAGGAAAAAGCAAGAAAGAAATAAACGATAATACTTCCAGGCAAATATTAAAATGTTCTGGAAACTCGTAAAAATACCAAATTTCAAAACAGCCTAGATTGAATGCGATACGAGACGAGAATGGCTGTATTCTGAATGATGAAGTGTTGAGTCTAAAGAGATGGAAGGAATATTTTACAGGCCTGCTGTACACCTTGTTTAATTTATGTTGGAAACTAAAGCGGGTACCTGGAGACTGGTGCAAAGCCGTGATAGTCCCAATATATAAGGGAAGAGGGTCACAGCAGGACTGTAAAAACTACCGTGGTATCAGCCTTCTTAGCATTGTGGGAAAACTGTATGCTAAGGTACTAATTGAAAGAGTTATGAAAGAAACTGATGAAAAAAATTTGGGATGTGGATGTGGGAATGGGGTGTACTGATCAAGTCTTTTCCAAGCGCATGATCGCGGAGAAGTTTTTGGCGAAAAACCTAAAAGTTTTTTGTGCGTTCACGGACTTGGAAAAGGCTTATGACAGAGTGGACAGGGATGTGTTATGGCAAACGCTGAACGCATTTAGGTTGAGCGCTGGTTTAATACAGGCATTAAAGTCTCTGTATAGGGACTTGAGTGCTTGTGTTAGAATCAACGGGGTCTACTCCGACTGGTTTAGCATCCATAAAGGTGTCAGACAGGGCTGTGTAGCTTCCCCGTGGCTGTTCAACCTATTTATGGACAGTTGTTTGGAAAATTTGAAAGTTGAAGAATGCGGGTTAAGAATGGGTGAGTTAACCATCAAATGTCTTTTGTACGCCGATGATCAAGTCATACTTGCGTCGTCGGCGGCCGAGTTGCAAATGATGGTTACATTAATCAACATGTCATTAAAAGAAAGGGGAATGAAAGTGAACGCCAGTAAGACGAAAGTGTTGGTTTTTGAAAGAGAAGAAAGCACAATAGTATGTGAAATAAGAATAGAAGGAGAGTTAATTGAGCAAGTGGATGAGTTCGTATATTTGGGATGTGTATTCAGCAGGGATGGGAGATATGATAAGGAATGACGAGTGAATGCAGAAAATAAAGTAAATGGGGCTCTACACTCTATTGTGAAGATATCAGAATGTGTCAAAAAAGGCACGTATGGCAATTCACAATGCTGTATTAGTCCCTACTTCAACATATGGTAGTGAAAGTGGGGTGTGGCAGAAGAAGCACGAGAGTAGAATAAATTCAGTAGAAATACGTTCGCTAAGGAGTATGTTAGGGCTGAATCTGAGTGAAAAAAACGTGGATAAAAGAAGAGTTGTTTGCAAGATGATGCAGTGACCATGATTAAGAAAGGAATCTTTTTTGTATTAAAAGAATAATGCAGCTAAAAGCAAATAATTGAAGAAGAAAGAGGGACTCCTAGCGAAATTTGTCGACCAAATTGGCGATATACTAAAAGTGGGCCAAATTAAGAGTACCCTTAACCAACGAGCATGTATGCGTATGTATATGGATGTGGAAGAGGCGAGAGAGGTATGTCAGGATCGTGCTAAATGGAAGTCTGTAGTCTCTGCCTACCCCTCTGGGTGACAGGCGTGAGTGTTTATGTATGTCAACTCGGTAGGCCAGCGTTCGGGAGATTACGAGATATCTTCTTGCCATGTATACCTCAAAACTTGCTATATAGCACGAAGAACCGACAAACGATGAGGAGAAAGGTTCTCGAGTGGCAGCCTCGTACTAGTAGGCGAAGTGTAGAGCGGCCACCCACTAAATGAATTGACTACCAGGTAACACATGCAGGAAATCGATGGATGGATGGACAGGTGGCTCTGGACCGTTTTTTTTTATAGGATGAGGGTGACAAACCCGCACACAGTCCACCTAATGGTAAGTGGATGCTATGGCCAATGGACATCTACATTTAACCTCGCTTAAGTATCAAAATGCAGATGTTTTGTCACCTTTGAGGACTAAGATGGAATGCCTCGTTTCCAGTAAAACGGGTCTCCGGTTCTTTACATTCACCATACGAAACACAGCGGCATTAAGCTGCTATTTTACGCCGGTATTCTGTGAGAGCGTGGTCCTTCCCCGGTCGAGCCGACCCATTCATGCTACAACCATAATAACTGCGGTGTGGCTCTAGCACGTATAAAATGTCTACCGTGCTTTGTGACATTCCTAGGTGGAACAATGCGCAGCAGTGGACTTGTGAAGGGCTGTAATGATGATTTTGATGATGATTGGGTCTCAGGGACATACGATGTAACCTGAGATGGCTGATAAATATCTGATAACAAATATCATAATCATAAACGCCTATCTACCCTGAGCGGTAAAACAAAAACTACCTTACAAACCTCTGTCGTTTCTTTCACATCCACATATTTACGCATTTTCATGTATATTGTATGTTCATCAGTAAAGTACTCTTAATTTGTCCCATCTTAATTATGTAGATGGAAGAAGGTGGCTCAGGACGGTCCCCCAAGGAATGCTTCGTGGCATGTTCAGCAGTGCACTTGTGAAGAGCTGTAATGATGATGATGATGATGAATTTTGTCTCCAATTTGGTCGACAATAAACAACCTTCTCTTGCCAGACTGCCTTTCACTTCTATCGCATGAATTTGTTTAGTCACTCCTTGAAAGAAATTATGGGTACCGATACGGAATAATATAAATGTAAAAAAAGTATTATTGTTAGAATGAAATGAAAATGTTAGAATTATATTAGGAGATAATAAAAATGTTAGAATTATTGTAGATTTAAATTGAGTGTAATTATCCAAATAGTAGAGCTTAGTTATACAGTAATCCTTTCAAACTCTTAGTTAAATTAGTACAGATACCTGAGATGACAAAAGGGTACTAAGTTAGAGTCGGGCCCTTCAAATAAGTTTGTTTCCTCAGCGCAAACAGAAAATAATTAACCGCGGTGTCTTTGTTTGCCTCTTCCAGAAATTCCGTCAAGTTTTTTTTTATAGTACACATAGCGACCGGAAAGGATATTCTTTTGATGTATGTTATGGATTAATGTATAAGTTATTTTAAGTACATTTTGTATATTCAAAAGGTTCCTATCGTAAAGCGATAGTTGTAAATAAAATACTATTGAATAAAAAAATCCAGTAAGCTGAAGTGGCAATTGACCGGCCATATAGCTCGATGAACTGGCATCTGGCACTGGCCACTTATTGCAGTGACGACATGGCAAGAAATGCAGGAAATTGTAGGATGTAGGTGACTACGGACCATGGCTTGAACATAGGCCAAGGACTGGCATTTCTTGGCCTATGTTCAGCAGTGAACTTGTGAAGAGCTGTGAAGATGATGATGATGACGTTGGAAGATATGCTATGAGTAATTGAATCGAAAGATATAGCCGGGGTAATTACATTGATTTTTTTTTAAATAGAAGAAGGGTGCCGGCGAGCATGCGACTCACCTGATGGTAAGTATCGACCGCCTCCACAAACAACTGCAATACCAGGTAATTTGCAGGTGCGTTGCCGCCTTTTAATAAATAGTGGGCTCCTTTTTTGAAGGTCCATAAGTCGTATCGATCCGGAAAAATCGCTGGTGATAGTCTGATCAGAAAGTGCTCGGTCGTCGAATATTCGAACCGCTCTGCGCTAGATGCGATCAGAGCGGAGCCGATACTGGAGAGCCCCGGCTCGGAGATGGGAACAGTATCCGATGTGAGGCCGAACCCGCGCCTTGTAAAGTTGCAGACGGTGTCCGGCACACCGTCTGCAACTTTATGTTTATCTATGAAATACTGTCCCGCTCTGCTGAGCACGCCAAGCTTTTTTGGGGGCAAATTCGCCTTCTCTTCCAAGTGACCACGAAACTACACGTCATTTGATATGTCGACGCCGAGGATTCCGATACTGACCTTTTCATGTATTATATATGCGTTAAGAGGTCGTTATCTTATATATAAAAATCAGCTGCTCTCGGTTAGCACAGACTAAGTATTCGGCTTCTTTATTCATGTGCCGTTAGTATCGCTAACACTCGAAAACGGCTCGAATGATTTTGATGAATTATTTTGTGTAGGCATAGTAGTTTATTTTAGTTTTTAAACCATCCAGGAACCTACTCAGGTTCCTGGATGGCTTAAAAACTCAATTGGACCCGGTAGGTGGCGCTGTTGTCGATATCCAGAAATCACCCGCTCTCATACAACTCATATTTTCTGGATGTGTTCGCTGTTAGTCTATGCGACTCTTCTCGACTTCTTCGACTCTAGGCGGCTTCGGTGTGTAGACAGCTTTACAGCTTCACCTGAGTGAGCTAATAAGTTATTTATATATTTCCTTTGTCATATATGATGTGTATCATAGAATTTTATTTTAAAAAATAAATAAATAACAAGTAACTTCAGTTACAAAAGAATACAATGCTTCTCTTTCAAAAGAAGGAATATCGTGAAGCCATAGATGTCTCCGTGAGTAACTAGCACGTTTACTATGCAAAGTACATCTAATGCTCAGTGAAACAATTGTGCATAGGGTTTCAGCTGCCAGATCGCACTCAGTAACCTGATATACGTTCATGTATTAGTATCAATTAGTAATGTTTACAATCTTTGTGAAGGTGTAATATCCACGATTTAAATATAATTTGTAATCGTCTAGAAATTAATTAATTAAATTTATTGACATCACAAACTCAAGCCTGCAATAAGAGTTATACTTATATTATACTAATAATAAATAAAAATACAAATCAGATTGATGTCATTTCATAGGACACAAATAGTTACAAAGTCACAAGTCACAAGACAGACTTGGTGGCGCGGGCGCGGCGCGGCGTCGAATCTCGCGATGCCGCAATGGCCGCCCCGCTTGGCGCCAACGCTGCTCGAATGTTATTTCCGACGCCATTACTCACGTTGGCTTCGAGCTTCGACTTCGACTAATTATAATATGCTGAGAGAACGTCGCTCACGTCACTGACCGCTCGCTCAGCCAAATTTGCTCTTGTAAGCGAAAATTATGCCTGATGATCACCTCTATTATTAGTATAGTATTAGGTACCAACCTGTATAATATATTATGCAATAAGTAGATGCTTAATAAAGGCGGTATTTCATTTAAAAGTAATAATGCATACCTAAGTCTACCAATAACATATTACTTAACATTTTGGAAAGTTTCTTTGATGAATAACTAACTCAATGAGATCATAAACAGTTAGTATGAAAACAGCATAGGTACTAGAAAATTCTGATTAACATAAATACACGTTGGTCGGTTTCTCTTAATTGATACCGTTTTTCTTTCGGAAAGATCAGAGGCGTCGGCGTCGTTAAAGCAGCTCTCTCTGTAAACACCGCGGGGTAACATAATCAACTGCCCTCTGACATCGGCCTCATTACTGATAGCGGACTGTTTTTGTCGCACAACTATTAAAACAACCAATCGATTTAGGAAACTACTTATTTACATCCTCTATGTTATAACAATTAGCAAAAATATGATTAATCTTTTAAATTACTTATTGAGCGTATTAAAACTAAAAGTATTTATCTTAATTTTATCTTCCTCACTATCCCAAAAACGCTTGAGGGACGGTTAGTGATTTGATTCGATTTTCGATTCCATTCTGCGTCATGACAAGTCGCTAGACATCTCGCATAGTCGCTGTTCCTCGACACACTTATAGAATAAATTATTTAGCCGTTATATATTATTATTTTATAGGTTGCATTGTAATTATTGTAGGTATATTAAAAGTTATAGTATTGCTACAAAATATTGCAAAAATTAAAATTCTTACGATTAGATGTAAATTAAAGTAAAGTTACAGCCTATATACACGTCCCACTGCTGGGCACAGGCCTCCTCTCATTTCTGAGAGGGTTTTAGGGCAAGGAATAGTCCGCCGCACTGCCCCAATGCGTGTTGGCGAACTTCACATGTCTTCGAAATATTTTTTTTTCTTATTTCTCAGACATGCAGGTTTCCTCACGATGTTTTCCTTCACCGCCGAGCACGTGGTAAATCAGCACTTAAAATTGCAATTAACAATTTCCTTGGTGCCGGCGGGGATCGAACCCGGTTTGTTCGCGTATTGTGAAATTTACAGCGAGCGCTATCCATCTGCTACCACGGCTCTCTCACGATTAGATGGGACTCTAAAAATTAAGTATCAATATGTATACTATTTTATATAATTAAGTATCAATATCAATATATTTTGAAGAGAGAGAGACAGAGACAGCGAGATATATATATATATAGAGAGAGTTAATTTTCTGAGTTTGTATATTATGTATATGTGGAGGGTAATCTCCAGAACCACTGCCAGGCCTCTATCACTCTTGCTACCTACGTAAAATAATTACTTAAAATCGCGACGCGCCCAGGCGAAATAAGTCAGTCAGGGCTAGCGCGTTGGAGGCGATTGAATGTTAAAATTTTTTAACGCTGTTGACGTATATATAACTCTTTGTAAATATTGTTGAAATAGTTTTTGTTTAGTGTTTAGTATATTTAATTGTAGGTAAAAATAGTTGTAATAGTTTTAATGTATTTTAAAAATTATATATTATGTACATTATCTATTTGATAAATTATAATAGCAAAACGTCGTTCCTACTATAACTGTTGCGTGGATGGATACTAAATGAAATGACCAACAAAAGGTTTCATATCATTCTTTAAGTTACCGAAGAATTTTAGAAGGAAATTATGAAAGGTGAATTTATATAATTTTTTTTGTTAGATAGGTACTAACAGCAAAAAAGAATTAAGTAATAATTTGGTCTACAGAAGAAATACCTAAGTACTTTATTACAAAAATTAGTAAAAATTTACTTCACTATCCAAGTAATTACTTAAATACATACCTATACGTGTATTTTGTAATTAAAATATTTTAAGTTATAATAACACAAAATACTGAAATTAAAACTTTGTATATACTAAGAAGATTTTTAAGTTAATAGAATAGATCACACTTCTGTTTGGAATCGTATTTCAGGTTTATTTGTTGTTTACACTAATTCCTCCGAACCAAGCGTTGCGTTTCCCGACGAATGACCTTGCAATTTGCATGCGTTAGGTAACCCAGAACTCACATAGGGGCGAAAGTATGGTCAGTCGATCATAGTCAGAATAGGTACTTCACCTGAGTAACATAACTAACATTTCGCAATGTATTTTTTTACTTTCTATTGACATCCCTTAATAACCACGGAAAGTCCGCCGTGACTTAGGAAGCGAAAAAGATGGAAAGTAATATGGACACAAACGCTCGCTGCGCGTTTAGTTTTATTTAGCTTGCGCGTGCGATTTAACTGATTAATAATAATTATGTAGGCTATTAAATGTCGGCAAGCAGTTGACATCAAAGGAGTGCAACTTCTGTACGTAGTACTATTATTTATTCTGTGCCACTGCACCTATTTCTATTCTTTCACCATTTAAAAGGTACATCATTCCAGAAGGACATAGGCTAAGTATATATATTAAAGTTGCACGATAATATTGTATGATTGAATTGTTCTTATTGAAAAGTTCTAAAAAAAGTCCGCAACATTTCATAAATTTGCATTTATATTAGATTCCAATCTTGAGCTAAGTTATGATTACACGATGTTCTCTAAACCATTGGGTAGATTGAATAACCTTGGCATGAAAATAATTTTCCAAAATTTAAAATCATTATTACACCAATTATGGTATGATATTAATAAGAAAAATAATAAAAAGACAATGCCCAGTAACTGTGATGTATCTGAAACACGCCACACCATAACTCACACACACTCAACACCAAAGTCTTTTTTTCGTGATTAATAATGTGAATATTTTGTTCCAAAATATGCAAAGTTTATTCAATAAAACCCATCTTCTGGAAACCTATTTAGACCAAAATCTACCATACGCAGTTTGCATTTCGGAATCTTGGCTGTCAAATTCTAAACTAGAATTAGTGGTATTTCAAAACTATCATGTGGCAACCTATTTCTGTCGAAAGAATTACTCAGGAGGTGGTGTATGTATCATACTAAAAAATGATTTACAGTATATAGAACTAAAAGATGTAAGCAGTTTCTCAGTTGAGTATGTAACTGAATTTTGTGCACTGGAAATTACTAAATTAAATATTATTATTGTTAGTCTGTACTGGAATAATAGAGAGATTGAAGTTTTTTATACACAAATGAAATTGTTATTAGAATATTTAAATAGAAAACATGAAAAAAAACGAATTATAATTGGAGGTGACTTCAACGTGAATATTTTAGAGGAATCACAAAAATCAAACTTTCTGTTAAATTTCATGCTAGAATATAATTTTATTCAAGTAATAAGGGAACCCACTCGTGTTACATGCAACTCTGCCACATGCTTAGATCTTATCTTTATTAACTTCCCTTTAGCAGAATTAAAAGCTTATGTTGCAGATTTAGGCTTTTCTGATCACAAAGGAATTATAATTAATTTAAAGACCGAAAATAGAATACAAAAAACAATTCCTTGGGTAATTACAAAACGATTTTTTAACGAGAAAAACATTAATGAATTTAAATCTCAGCTTTCACTTATAGACTGGCGTACTCTTCTAAATGTCGAAAGAAGCCTTAACGAAAATTATAATATATTTAATGAAATATTACAAAATTTGCTAAATGTATGCATTCCTAAAAGAACCGTTACTTTAAGAGCAAGAAAAAAGAACCGTTGGATAACGAAAGGCCTCAAAATTTCATGTCAAAATAAAAGATATTTAAAAGCCCTTACTTCGTATACAAAGAACCCGTATTTAAAAAAACACTATAAAATATTTGCAAAAATATTGAAAAAGGCAGTAAATAAAGCCAAACGAATAGATTATGCAAATAGAATAAAATTATCTGATAATAAGGTAAAATGTATGTGGGCCATTATAAAGGAACGTACTAATAAAACAACGAACAAAATAAAACAAAATATTGAAATTTTAGTGGACAAAGAACAAGTATCAGAACCGAAAAGGGTAGCTAATATATTTAATAATTTCTTTGCATCAGTTGGCCACGTGACACAAGCAAACATACCATCTCAACAAACACAATTATTTAAAAATACCAGTACACTAAATACTATGTTTTTATGTCCTATAAATTTGGAAGAAACTAGTAACATTATCAAAAAATTAAAAAATAAAAATAGTTATGGAATAGATGAATTACCACCTAAATTAATAAAAGAATGTGTTGATTCATTAACTCTTCCATTTAGTATTTTAATCAACCAATCTTTTACGGAAGGAACGTTTCCAGATTTATTAAAAACTGCTATAGTAAAACCTATACATAAAAAGGATACAAAAGCAAACACTACAAATTATAGACCGATCGCAATGTTACCTACATCCTCGAAAATATTCGAAAAGGCAATGTCAAATAGAGTTTACGCTTTCTGTGAAAAATTTAAACTATTTGATAATTCACAAAATGGCTTTAGGAAGAAACGATCAACGACACTGGCAGTATACAAATATATACAAAACGTACTTGATATTTTAAATAAAAGGAAATACGCCGTAGGTATATTATTAGATATGTCCAAAGCCTATGATAAAGTTCAATACCCAATACTGTTACAGAAGCTATATGACATTGGTATACGAGATACGGCATACAAATGGTTTAAATCTTACCTAGAAAACCGTAAACAATACGTAGAGATAGTGCATTATAATCATGACGCCGGCGAAATATACAACGTTAGATCTGAAGCAATCCACACTACTTGCTCCATCCCCCAGGGCAGCGTTTTGGGATGTTTGCTATTTATTATTTATATAAACGAACTACCTAGGGTATTGACAGAAACCTCTATTATATTTGCTGATGACATTTCCATTCTTATTCCTCATAAAAAAGACCAGAATTTAAA